CTGTCGCTGCAATCTACCGTCGACCGGCACCAGCCTTTCATGTCATGGCTGCCCTTCATGCTCCGCCTGCTCCTGTTCCTGACGAGGCTGTTGAAGAGCCAGCTGGTGCTGTTGAAGCTGCTCCGCCACCAGTGGTTGAGCCTGAGGTATTCTTTTGCTTTTCTTTTTGTTTCGGTCAGCGAGCCCTGCGAGCCACTCGTTTCTTTGCCACGCGTTTACGTATTTTTCTGTTAGGTATTTTTCTATACTTCCGCATGTAGTCCTCCGTTTTGCTTGCTGCTTGCCACGTGTTTACTCGGGTGTTATTTTTCCATATGCTAGCATTTTTTGCCGCTTTGTAAGCGAGGTTTTTCCACCCTATGGCGCGGGAGATTAGTCGTATGTCACTCTTTCACGTCTGCTTAGGGTTTTCGCTTCGCGGCTAGAGTTTGCTGTTTTATTTGTAGCGTAAGAAGTTTTCCTTTTGTTGTTTCGTTAGTTACTGCTTTCAGCGGCTTGCTAAGGTGTTAGTTCATCTATGCAGATTTTTTCACGCTTTATTGCAAGAAGTTTACACCTTAGGGCATAAATTATAGGACCTTTACTAGTCTTAACTGTGCTCGCTCGTTAAACAAACAAAATTATAAACATATTATATCTATTAAGTTTGGGAAGGAAAAGGAAAGTGAGTGGTTGAGGTTTCCGCTTTGTTAGCGAGGAGATACCGCTTTTCTATAGCGAGAAATGGTGGTGGTAAGATGAGCGTATATTTTTCCGATTGGGGGGTTTTTCGCTTCACAAACGAGGAGATACGGCTTTATATTGCGAGGAACGTTGGTCGATATTTCTACTCGAGGAGATACCGCTTATAGCGACGAAGTTGTGTTAGTGATTGTACATAATTTATTTTTGGGCATATTGGGAGTTTCCGCTTTTCGTGCGAAGGGATACCGCTTCAAGGCGAAGCCTGTTTATCGTTTTTTGTTAGGAGGTACCGCTTCTTAGCGAGGAATACTGGTAGCGAATGAGTGTATATTACCTTTGCATAATTGAAGTTTCTGTTTTGTCATAATGAGATACCGCTTTTAGGCGAGGAAATTATATTAGTGGTCATTATTGAGAGAAGCGGAAGGTAAATGAGATCAACAAGGGAGACAGGAACGTTAGATCGTTATCATACCTTATGGTTATGTCTTTTCCCTTTTGCTCGTAGTTTTCCATTTTATATGTATATTTGAGGGATACCGCTTTGTAGCGAAGTGTCTTAGTCGTGCTGATTTGGCAATGTTTTTTCTTTACGACTTTGGTTGGTCTACTTTAGTTTTTGTTTTAGGTGCTTTCTGTTCCTTTTGGAAATTTAATCGGCTTCTATGCGTCCCGTTTTGCCACCGTGTTTGTTGTTTTCGTTTCGTTTACCTTTGTTTTTTTTTTAATTTTTTCTCTCGTCTGTCAGGCTGATGTTCGTTTGGTTGAGTTAGAAAGAAAGGTCCGAGCCCTTGAGCAGGAGAAAACTTTGGAAACTACCGAGGGTACTTTGGTTAACCTTAGAAGATACCTTAACCGTCCTAATAGCGCTTTTGACCGTTTCGAAGTGTTGGACATTTTACAAGCTCTAGTGCGCCTCGCGCGCACCCAAGCACACCAGAAGGCTGAAGAATATGCCGCGGCCCTTGACGAGGTACGAGCGAGATGGGACTCTCTCAGTTCCCCCGAGTTGCAGCGTTTATTGCTAGGGCTGTTGGGAGACCCCGTTAGAGCTAAGGTCGCTAAAGAAGCCGCTTCCATACTAAAGTCTGCTTCCAAGACGTCTGGTCAGTCGCACGTTGGCCCTATACGTCCAAGGCTTGGAATACCGTTCGGGCGAGGACCATGTTTCAAGTGTGGCCGCTTGGGTCATTTTGCGCGCACCTGTAGGGCAACTCAGGCGCAGTTTCCGTACGGACGGGGACGTGGAGCCCTTAGTTATGGAGGGCGAGTAAACCCTCGCTGATATACTCGCTTGATGTTCGATTTACAAGATTTTGTTGCCTTGTAATTTCCTTTTTGTTTTATTTTTCGCCGTTAAATAAAACATTTTGCTTGTGTTCATCTTTGTCCATGTCTTTTTTTTTTTTGAAACGAAACAACAACAAAAAAAAGCCCTTCTCGTCGTTGACCCTGGGGGACCTCCTATGTGTCTCTGTTCTGGACCTGGTTCGGATTCTGGGGTCAACGAGGGATTGGTTTCCCTGTTTGTCTCCGCCTAGCTTTACGGTTTTCCCTTTACTCCCTTTTTCAGACGCGTCATTCTCGTTTCGCCCCGCAGATCTTGGAGGCTCGGGACTCGTATTTACAGTTTCGCGGATCTGTCCCTCTTCGCTCTTTGGCACAGGGAACCCAGCCCTTCGTTGGCCCCCCCCTGGCCTCTCCGGAGATGGTTTCCTCTCGCCCGGAATTAGGTGTTTTGACCAACCTTCGCTTCCGTGACCCGGGTCATTTTAAAGCTGGTATGATTCACGAAAGTTTCCTTGTTTGGCAACGTCTACTGGCCGATTATTCCTGTGCGGTGGATCTTCTCGAGATTCTCCGGGATGGTGTTCGTGTGGAGAATTTTTTCACCCCATTTAGGGGGGATTTTAAGGGGCAGTTCTACCATGCGCAGACCCCTCCTTCCATTCAGATCAAGAACGCTGCTATTTGTGCACAGTTCGCTGATTTTATTTGCGATACCATTGTTCAGTGGGTGGCATCAGGGGTTTTGTCCGTTTGGGGAGAAGTTGGAGTCGTGTCTCCGCCTCATTTGGTCCTTCCAATTACCATTGAGCCGTCCAAGCCTCGTCTCTGCCACGACGAAAGGTTTTTAAATTTATGGATTAGGGATCTTCCATTTAAATTAGATCACCTGGCGGATTTGCCCCGGTATGTTTTGCCTGGGCATTTCCAGACGACTTTCGATGACAAGAGTGGCTACCAGCATGTTCGGCTGCATCCGTCGTCTGAGACGTACTTTGGGCTCGAGTGGGATAATTTCTTTTTTGTGTTTCGTACGCTCCCCTTTGGTTGGAAGGCCAGCGCCTATATTTATCATAACTTAGGTCTAGTCGTCTCGCATGCCGCCCGCTCCCTTGGGGTTCCCCTGTCACAGTATATTGACGACCGTCATGTGGGACAGCTTTTTGCCTCTCCGATGCGTTCCGTCATTCTTCCAAGCACTAAGAGAGCTGAAGCTGCTGCTTACATTGTGTGTTACATTCTAATAGAAGCTGGCTATTTCATTAATATTGACAAGTCGCAGTACGTTCCTTCTACGGTGGTCTGTTTTTTGGGTTTTTTATGCGATTCTATGCGCCAGGCGTTTCTTATTCCCCAGGATAAGAAGACCAAGTTCGCGACCTTGCGGGAAAGTATTTTGTCATCCTCCTGTGTCAGTCTTAAAACGCTGCAACGTTTCGCTGGCAAGGTCGTTTCTTTTAGTTTAGCCATCCCTGGTTGCAAGCTTTACGTCCGCGAAGTCTTTAACGCGATAGCCCAGCTTACGCGTTCTTCTAAGACTGCTGCTAAAGTCCAAGGAAGACTCCGCTTTGATGTCGCGTACTGGCGCTTTTTAGATGATTGGTCAGACTGCTTGCCTTGGAGGTCGGAGCAACATTGTATAGTCTCCCTGTTCTGTGATGCCTCTAAACGCTCGTGGGGTGGAGTTCTTTTTAAGGACGGGAGAAGGATCGAGTCCAGAGACTATTGGATGGATGCTTCGGATGATATTAACTCTCTCGAGGCTAAGGCTTTGGTACGCTCACTCTTGGCTTTCCGAGACCATGTACGTAATTCTAGGGTTGATATTCATACTGATAATCGAACCCTCAAGGCCGCCTTGGACAATTTCGGCTGCAAGAATTCATCTGTTAACGATTCTGTCAAGGAAATCTTGGAGTGTAGCCGTCAGTTAAACTTGGCTATTGATGTCCACTATGTTCCTTCCCGCGACAATATGGCAGACGCACCTTCTCGAGCGTGTTCGGACCTTGACTGTATGTTGTCAGAACAGGCCTGGAATTCAGTGGAGCGCAGATTCGGTCCTCACTCCTTCGATCTTATGGCGTTAGACAGTAACTGTCGAAGGGATCGTTCTGGTCTAATGCTTCCTCATTATTCTCCTTGGCCTACTCCGACCTCTGAGGGGGTTAACGCCTTTGCGCAGCCCATCCCATTGGAGCATAACATTTACGCTTTTCCGCCTTTTGTTTTACTCGGTCCGCTATTGAGGTATTTTTTGGATCAGGGATTCCATGGAGCCCTTACTCTGGTGGTCCCAGATTTGCGTCCCAGGCGTTTTTGGTGGGCTCTCCTTCAGTCTGTCGCAGTCGATCGCCTTTTGCTTGGCAGGAAGGGCGACGATGCTGTGTTGCTTTTTCCCTCTCGCTCCACGCATGTCTGGTCGGCGCGACGTCTTCAGTGGGACTTGTGGGCTTATCGCTGTATTTTCTAATTTTTTGCCGTTTATGGTCTTCTGCTAGATTCCGCGACCATGGAAACCAGCCCGTCTTTGTGGTTCGTGCTTGTATCCTAATGACGCAGATGCCAATTTCTGTCAAGCGTGTGGGGTTCCCACTGCGCCCTTGGTGTCAGCTGTTCCCCGTGGCAGGGGTCCTGTGGATGAGAAGGTTATTCAAGAGCGTTTTCAAGAGTTTAGGTCTTCGTTTGAGCGTCGGCCCTATCAACGTCAAAAGTCAGCCCTTGAGCAGCAGTTATCTACGTTTCTCGCGTCAGTTTCCCCGCCTAAAACAATTTCATCTTGTACGGTAGACGACGTTATTAAGTTTCTCATTTATAAAGATTCGTCGGGGCGAACAGTGGTTCATGTCCCCACATGTTCCGGAGAGGCTTGCGCCTGCCCCCGCCGTTTAGCCGCTGGCACCGTTGACTCCCTGCTTGGAAAGCTCAAGTCCATCTTTAATAAACTTGGTCGCATCGACCACACTAATCCTATCGCGCATCCTCGCATCAAGGAATACTTGAACTTTGTTCGCGTCGAACAGGCGGGTATGGCTATTTCGCCTTCGCAAGCTGTGCCATTGTTCTTTGTTAAGTTCCAGAATTTAATTGCTCATTTACGGGGAAAAATTGTTGATAGTCAATCATTGTCTAGAATTAGTCAGTATATTTTGGTTAGGGATGCTACCTTTTTTGTAATAGATTTCTTTACGGGCGACAGGGCATCGGATTTGGGTCGCCTATTAGCCAGCCAGGTTTTTAAATTAAAAGATCGTGAGGGTTACTTGTTGCGTTTTACCTTTTCTAAAACTTTGCGTAAAGACCCCCCTCGTTCTTTCGCCTTGGTTCCCTTTTGCAAAACAGACGTGTGCCCGGTTAATTGGATAACTTATTATCTCTCTGTGTGCGATTTACTTAAGATCCGCTTAGCTTCGGGTTTTTTCTTTCGGGCTTCTGACCGCAGTAGAGATATTAGTCCCAGGCCTTTCGTCGGCTCGGCTGTTAATAACCGTCTTCGGGGGTATCTCACCGAAGCTAAGCTTCATGACGGCGAAACCCCTCATAGTTTCCGGGTGGGTTTGTCTACTACTTTGAGATTGCTAGGTTGTTCTCAACAGCAGGTTGCACAGTATATAGGTTGGAAGAGTGGGGAGATGGCTCAACATTATTCCCGTTCGTCTGATGCGGCGGCGTCTCTCACGATCTTCGAGAAAGTCCTTCCTAGTGCTACTGGTTTGGTCACAGTGCCTGTGTCTCACCCCGACAATCTGCAACCCGTTTGTACTAATTGAACAATTTTCACTTTCATCTGTTATTGTTACCCCTAGTCCTCCTATCAGGGTTGAAGGGGATTTCTGAGTAATGGGAGAGGTTGGATTAAAATTGTGTTCTGTAGCTTTTGTTGTGTGGTTTTGTATGCTTCGGGGTGCTTTTTGGGGTCAGTCAGGTAGCTGTAGCGTGGTGTCAAGGGTTGGAGCGGTCTCCTCCCATAACTTAGTTTACCGTGATGTGGTAATAGGTATGCAGTGAGGATAAATTACTATTCTCACTGCATACATAATTAGCGCATCACGGAATTTGAGCTATATCCTTCAGATTCCGCCGTGCTCTGCAGGTATGATGCTTTGCGGTCTCTTTGCTTAAATTCTCGTGTTTTGCCTCGATTGTTGTCATTTTGCCCGCGTTCCGGTAAGGAAGCTTCTGTCGCCCCACCCTCCTCCCCTGGTGCCGGTCGACGCGGCTACGCTAAACTCCCGCTGCATACCTTAGTTGCCACAGTTGCCGCGGTCTCCTCCCATAACTTAGTTTACCGTGATGTGGTAATAGGTATGCAGTGAGGATAAATTACTATACTACGCAAGCTGCTGAGTATGGCTCCAAAGCGTCTTCAAGACATCATGATGCGTTATAACCGGTATGATGTCAACTTCGTATTTGTGAAAGGCACTAGTCTACACATTGCTGACACCTTAAGTAGAGCTCACTTAGACTCTGTTGAAGGTAACCAGGACGACAGTGCACGAATCATGAACATATATGCCTTTGCTGAAATCCCAGATAAGCGTTGGCCGAGATAAGAGAAGCAACTTTGCGCGACACTAGCCTACAAACCGTTATCAAGCTAGTCTTGGATGGATGGCCTCAAGACAAGCACAATATTCCCTCTTAAGCCTTACCTTATTTTGATATGCGTGACTCTCTCAGTATAGTAGATGGCATTTTAGTAAAAGGAGAAACAATAGTAATTCCATCTGAACTGAGAGCATCTATCAACAAAAGACGCCATAGTGCACATCTAGGCTGTGAAAGCATGAAGCATCTAGCTAGAGGCATTGTTTTCTGGCCTGGCATGGCTAATGATATTAAACAATTAGCGGATTCATGTGAAACCTGCCAAGAAATGAAGCCACGAAACACTCAAGAACCATTGAAACAACACAACGAAGGCGATGGACCTTGGCAAAAGATTGGTCTGGATTTCTTTGAAATCGAAGGAAAGCACTACTTGATTGTAGTGGACTATTACTCTAATTTCATAGAGATTGATCCACTGACAAGCCAAACGAGCACCCGTACCATAACTCTTCTCAAGAAACATTTTGCGCGGTACGGCATTCCAAGAGTAGTCGTATCAGATGGAGGTCCTCAATTTACCAGTCAAGAGTTTAACTCAATCATGACAAGCTGGGGTATTTCCCATCATACATCATCACCCATGCATCAACCTACTAACGGCAAAGCAGAGTCCGCCGTGAAGATTATGAAATCCTTGCTAATCAAAACTTACAAGGATGGTGGCGATCCCTATGAAGCCATACTCGAACAACGAAACACTCCTCGTCAGGACACTGCATTGAGTCCAGCGCAAATGATGTTTAACCGCAAAACACGTAGTTTCTTACCAAGCTTAAGCAGTAAACCAAAGAACACTCTCATGAAAGGAAAACGTGATGCGCGAAAACGCAGCGTGAAAACATATCACGATCGGAAATCACGCAAACTCTCAGTTAATGAAATTGAACAGTCAGTATTCTGCCAACACACAGAAGGTCAGAACTGGAAATGGGGCAAAGTAACTGGAATTTTAGGCCCTAATACATACCAAGTGGAAGGTGCCAATGGCGGCAAGTACAGAAGAAACCGTGTGCATCTAAGACCCACCAAAGTAGTACAAACTCCTCGCGATGTGTCTCCTATCGTTTTGTCTCGTACTCCTGACCAAGTATTGACTTTAGCCGTGCCTACAGTCCCTCAAACTCCAAACACTGGCGCTGAGGCCAAAGAGAGACATTTGCATAGTGAGGCAACTACTCCCATTAAGAGTCCCGCACCAGAAAGGCCTAAACGTGAAAGCAGATTACCTATTCGTTTTAAGGACTATGTACTCAACAAGTAGAGACTGTTTTGATTAATTGAACTGGTTTATTTAGGAACTTTGCTTACTTAAGACACTGTTTGAGTTCCTTGTTATTGTTACTTGAGTGGACATCTTCAGTGAAAGATCCGGCTTTCATATTCATTGGCTAGGAAACTCCATTATTATTTTCCTAACGAAGAAGAGATGTTGATTGATAGTATATTGTACCGTACATAAAGTATGTTTCTAGTTCCCATGATCCTTCACTTCGAACCATGTGCTCTCGTAATGGTGGTTCACGAATAAACCCATGTTGTTGTTTTCTACTCTTGTCGTGCTCCTCGTTCTCCACTCTAACAAATCAACATGGTCAAAAAAACAAAAAGCATGATCCCAATAAAGTTTTCCTTTTAGAGGTATAACATCACACCTGTGATCGGTTAGCCCTAGTAACTAAAAGTCAGTGGCTCCAAAGCAACTCTACACTTACCAACTTTAGGGAGCCTAAACAGAAAAATAAGTCAAATGAAGTTGTCCTTATCGAAGAATAGTTCAACATAACTGATTCACAACAATATGTGTGAACAGTATCTGCAATAGAGAGGACAAGTGTGACGTCACATTACCATGGTAGCAAAATTTCTGGATGACAACAACAGAGAGTTGTTGCAACGGCAACGGCCAACAGCAAAAAAACAACTTTGCGTGTGCACCACGCTTTTCTGTACATTTCTTAGCTATTGTTGCACGACTGTGATATGAAACTTCCTACTTACACGGGCCCGCTTGAAGAAGTAGTTGAGAATTTAGATACGGCACTTTCAGATTTAACCCAGAAATTTCGCCAGCATTTGACAAATTCAATGAAATTGAATAAGATTAACGAAGTTTGAAACAGTGCAAACTTACTTTTAAAGTAAAATTTTGGTTGGTTATCATCCAAAAATTCTACTACCATGGAAACATGACGTAACGACTTCTCCTCTCTATTACAGTAATTCACAAATGTTTGGCGTCGATTTCCCTTTTAAGAAATGGTAGTTTAGCATGCAGCTATTGTGTTATCACAGTATAAAAGAGCAAGGTTGCTAAGCACAAAGCAGAGCTGTAAATAACAGCCAATTCTCGAAAAACATGCAAAAGAATAGTCTATGCCTGATCCTGAAGTCACATTTTGACTGCAGCAATCAGTCTACATATATATATATGCAAATTTGGCATTTTCAATGAACACATTTACTACGAGGCATAATACATTCTTTAATGACAACATTTTTGTTTTGCTCAACCAAAATGGAGGCTTGGCCAGACATATTTCCTTTGAAAAAGAAAATATTATGCAGCTTTGCAAAGAAAGTAAATATATGAGTTTTCAAGGTGATAACCACTAGGGCTTGAAAAGTGCTGTCTTGTCAGCAGGAAAAATAGATTTTCTTGCCTGTCAAGTAACTTTTATGCTCAATTACCCAATAAGCAAGGTCCAGCCAAGTCATAATTTGATTAACTGAAAATCATAGACATGAAGCCAATGAGCTCCGGGCAAGAAAAATGTGAGATGTCTTGTATAAAAGGGGCAGCTCCCATCACATTTTCAAGCACTGGCCACCAGTAATAATTTAGTATTTAAATACCTGACCACTCTTTTCTTCATGCAGATATTACGGGTGTAATCTGGGTGCTATTAATACCATCAGTGTAAGGGGTACTGCAACGAACATGAGCCTCACTTTGATTAAGTGGTACAAATATTATTCATAGGCCCAATTATTTCGTTACACGTGAAATAACGTTCATAAACGGATCGTGTCACATTTTATTTTCGATGAGTTTGTTTTCTGTCTCAAAAATAATGCTGTCGAGTCACGTGGCTCAGACCAGCTTTAAAGCCAAGAAATGTGAGATGCCAAAACTTTTCTTCGTAATTTTACCTAAGGATAGGACTAAATCGTTGTGACAACAGTTTTAAAAAAGGATGTTGGATTTTTCAGATATTTGGACCTAATAATTTCATAATCTTTTGTGACATGGGTGCGCACTGACGTCCCTTGATTGGCACCTGTCTCTAAAGATGACTTGAAACTGCCGGTATCAGTTGACATAGGATTTACCTTTATTTGTGTCGAAGGGGATTAACATTCATATTCATTTATTTTATTATTTTTATTTGTTGATAGGAGACAATTCTGTCGATGTATCATGGGGTCAGCGGTGTTCCACGTCGGCCGTATTGTATGTGTAAAACGAAGATGGCTGCATGTGCTTTGAGAATAAAGTGCTGTGTTCTCGAAAGCTGTTGTTCCTTTGATGGAAGCTTTCCCAGCTGGTCAACAATTTATCTCTACGACAAACTAGATTGCTTCTAGGATTGTTCGTTTAATATATATATATTTATAGGATTTTTTTTTCTCTCTTGTACCCGCCTCGAATAGCCTTTCGCTAACTGCGGGCACAAGCTTTGTGAGCTATATTTAATTTGACATTGATGCTTATTTTCGTGACATTTTGATGGTTAGGGGCAAAAATCCAAAGGGGGGGTGGTCTAACTCCCAAGAGAATAGTTGGAAATCAGAGTCACTTTGTCTTTGAGAGTTATTGGGTGGGTCCTTTAATCTGACCAAGTTTCATCCAAATCGGAGAGATAGCTTGTATCACGCCTGCCAGGTCCTCTCAAAAATCCCAGCATGGCAACATGTCGAAAAACTGGACTTTGTTGGAGCCGTTGACCGCTGCATCTTTCACTGCCTGGAAACGAGGCTGATCATAAGTCGTTTGAATGCCTACCAAAATACCGCACAAGTCATAACTATAATTCATTATGAAGATGAAACTTAGTTATTTACATTCTTATATTTAATAATAAAAGACTACAAATATATCAGGAATGATTTTTATTGGGGGAGTGGGGCTGGAAATGCACAGTTTTGTGTCGTAAAA